TCAGGCTCTTGCTTGTGATTTAAGAAAGGACTTTTCAGAGGGGGACTGCAGGGGGAGCAGAAATGAGCTGGCAATCAGTATACTGTCAGTTGTCTGCCTCTGTGTTTTTTCTAGAAACCAGGATGACTTCAGCTACATTTGGCAAATGGGTGTCAGCAAATGGCAAACATTCAGCATTGGAAGCCTTCAGGGTCAGGGCTGTAGACAAACTGCCCTATAGGGACTCTTTAAGTCCTAGCCTCAGCATGAACTCAATACATTCTGCCCAGCTGCTGAGCCAAAGCTTAACATTGTCCTTATGGTCCCTGCTGTGCTGGTTAGTTGTTGTCAACTTGACACAAACTAGAGTCACCTGGGTCAAGGGAACTTCAACTGAAGGATTTCCTATGGCAGTGTCTATGAGGCCTTTTCTTAACTGCTAATTGATGTAGGAAGCCCCAGCACACTGTGGGTGGTGCCATCCCTAGGCTGGTGGGCCTGGGCTATATAAGAAACATAACTGCAAACTTAGGTGAAGCATTCATCCATGATCTCTGCTTGAGACCCTGCCTCCCAGAGACCCTGCCCTGACCTCCTAAGTGATGGAATGTGAGATGATATAAACCCTTTCCTCCCTCAAGTTGCTTTGGGTCAGTGTTTTATCACAGCAATTGCAATCAAACAATAACACTTCTTGACCAGAAAAGGAAACACAGGAGCCTTCACTTTCAATCCAAAGGTCATGGTGCTTTATGATTGGTGTCCAATGCAGTGGTTGAAAGGGGGAAATTTGTGCTGGAATATTGGTGCCTAAGGAGGACAAGTTGGTCAGAGGATGGGGAAGTCTCAGAATCTATAGGACATAGGATAAACTCTTTTTAAATTATTTATTTATTTTAATTTTGTGTGTGTGAGTGTTATGCCTGCATGTGTGTAAGTGCACCTGTGCTAGGCAATGCCCATAGACTACAGAAGGGGGCATCAGATCTCCTGGAACTGGAGTTATAAACTATTGTTAGCCACCACATGGGTACTGGGATTTGAACCTGGGTCTTCTGCAAGAATAGCTAATGCTCTTAACCGCTGAGCATCTCTCCAGCACAGGATAAACTCTCTTAATGATAGAGAAAATACTTCAGAGAAACAAAAGGGCAGGTTAAGCACAATTTGGGACCTTTACAAGTGACGGAAAATGCAAGAGACTTTGTATTTGTGGGTTTGAATAGCTTAAGAAAAGCAATAATGTAAGAATTAAAATTCATCACAGAAGATCAAAAAGAGTAGGGGGTTGTCAAGACTTCTGGAAGACTTTTGAAAGGCTGAAGGACCCCTCAGGGATTCAGAGACAGGAATCTTTTCTGTTACTTATTGATCTCTTTCCACTTCCCGGACACAATGACTATCCAAACTTGTTCACCGACGTGCTATGGTCAGGCAAGTGTGGGCTTCACAATGTCTGAAGAATCCCTGAGAAGAAGAGCAAACTTCAGAAGATGAAGAGACCTGCCTGGACCTGCTGGCCAAACCCTTGCCTCTAACCCAACTTGAACAGCCCATGAACATGCTCCATTCTGCTTAGCACAAAAGTGGACCAGTCATCATTCGTGAAAAAAAATATATGAGATTTCATATAGGATGATAATGCATGGAGATTTTTTTCAATTGTTGGCATCTTCAGCAGCTGATACCAGAGAGTTCAAGTCTGAAAGCTTATGACGGTCGTTTATTTGCTGAAAGCTAATCTCTAATGTTCTGATATTAAGAGCTGTGACCCTTGGAAGGTCCAGAGCACCATTGTTAACACGTTCCACTCAGAGAAGACACAAGGTGTAATCTTTGAGCCAAAGAACTAGTCTAGTCACATGGCTAATATGCCAGCAACTTAACCCTAGACTTCTCAGTCTACAAAATGGTACATATATTTCTGTTGTTTATCAGTTACCCAGCTTATGAGCTGCCTCAGCCTCCAAATAGCTGGAGCCACAGATATACATCACAGAGTCAGGCTTGCACTTTGTGAACTTTTTGGAACAGCTTGAACTTAGGGAGACAATAGGACTCTGAGTCAGGAATGCAGGCCCAGAGGAGTGTAAAAGATGGGGGGGGGACTTTGGGGCTGACATATCAGTACTGTTACGGAAATATCTATTCAGTGCGTCTAACAGAAGATGGCTCAGCAAGATAAAGAGTGGCATGCAGAGGATGTGTCATACATGTTAGAGAAACAGGCAAATGTAAAGTTTAGGAATGTTTATGTGAATGTTAGAATCAACACAGGCTCCTCAATGGACTTTAACGCCATTTGCCCTCGAGCTCACACACCTTTCCCGACACAGGGCACTATAATTCTGTGTGCTTGTCCTGAGCTCCCTTTAACTCCTGGATTTTCTGGGGCAAGTTCTTCGTCCACAATTGCGGCCTTCTAGACTTCAGGTGATGGCTGACAGTGTGATGGATGTCCAGCTGCAGGTACTGCTCATCCTGGTCCAACACAGACCAGTAGGGTAGGCCATCACTGTTGGGGTTCCTGTGGATATGCCCCCACAGGGAAAGGTGATGGTCACCATAATCCAAGATCTGTTCCCCTTTTGCGGGACA